AACTTTATAAATTATTTAAACCATGGCCAGACATCCCTTGAGAATGTAACGAGATGTTTCAGAAATGTATCACCATCCATGAATGAACAGAATATGGCCTGTATTTGATATAGCACCTTCTAGAGTCCTGGAACCCCCCAAGGCGCTTTACAACACAATCAGTCATTCACCCATTCACACACACATTCACACACTGGTGAGGATGAGCTACGATGTAGCCACAGCTGCCCTGGGGCGCACTGATAGAGGCGAGGCTGCCGAGCACTGGCGCCACCGGTCCCTCCGACCACCACCAGCAGGCAACGTGGGTTAAGTGTCTTGCCCAAGGACACAACGACAGCGACAGACTGAGCGGGGCTCGAACCTGCAACCTTCCGATTACGGGGCGAGCACTTAACTCCTGTGCCACCGTCGCCCCATGTTACAAGCCATCTTCTCAGGCCAGCCTAACTCTTCCAAAGATGTTACGTCTCAGGGTTGACTTGCGAGGGCATGACACCAGCCACTCTTTAAAACGCCCACACTCTGTAGAAGCTGGTGAGCAATCACCGCTAGCCTAGACTCTGATTCTGGCAAAACCAACTTTATGCAGCTCAAGGGAGACTCAGTTTACTCACAACGCACCCTCAGTCCATGAAGCTTATGTACACTTCAGGTTAAGACCCTTTCCAGCTGTTCCTTTTCATGCTGAGGAGACAACTGACTTTACCTGTAGCCTAGAATGGAGGAAACAACATATCAATAACACCTAGGGATGGCATTTACAACCAGCATCTCACCTTTGCTCGGTTACCGACAGGAGGAGACCCCCCTCGTAAATCCTTTTTTCGTTCCTCAAATCCGAGGAACTAGGTTTTATTTCACACAGATGAAAAAAGAATAATAGTCCAAACAAAATCCCGACAAAGCGGGTTGAAAAGTGAAACAACTCTTTGCCAATAAACCGAGTTATAGCAAAGTTGAGCTGAATAAGCTCTCCAAAAATGACACTAGGTCGGATTATCACAAACAAAAAGCTCAAAGCAAAAGCTTCCTTCTTTCCATCTCTCTACCTCACACACTCTTCCCATCAAAGGCCCTCTCTCCTAAAAACTCTCAAAAGCCTTTCTCCAAAAAGCTCAGTCCATGACTGACTGACTCTCACTTATCCCATCAAGCTCATCTTTGAACAGACCCAATATCTTCCTTTTATTCACTCTGTCCCCCCTCCCTCACAGTCATTTCTTTGTTTGCTGCTTCAGACTTCAGACTTCCTGGTCACGTGTTCCTCTTCTTCTTGTTACTTCTCCAACGGCCCCGAAGAGACCACAAATCTTGGATGTCATGATGTCCCCTTTTCTTCTCCCAGTCTTCATCCGTTCACTTGTTTCTTCTTCTCAGCGCCTCCTGCAGGCTTTCCTCTCTTCTCCTTTGGGATTACATCACCTCCTCTTGTAGCTATTGGTCAGTAGAGGGGGATGTGGCATGATTACCCCTTCCTTTTCTTCTGCCCAGGATCAACTGGTCATCTCCAGCATTAGCTGGACAATATGTCGTATTTATATGTTTATAGTATCTTGACCAACTCCACTGAGGATAAAAGATAACATACATGTTTACTCCCAACATCTGTTCAGCTCAAAACAGGTCATATCCACAACATGAATCGTTTGACCATATCAGCAGGGTGAAGGCACATCACTAATTTACAACATCACAGTTCAGGGGGCTAGACGGCTGCCTGGACACACACACACACACACAGACACAAACATGATAAGAGAAGGTAACAGCCTTTAGCTTGGTTTCACACACACATGGATACACCTTGTAGAGCCTAGAATTGATTTCACATAATGAGAGACATAATCCAGACTTAATTCCATACATTAACAAGTCTGATTATACTCCATACAACAGAATCCATACAACAGAATCCATCCTTCAGAACGTGAACACAGTCCCCTCCTCCACTCTATTCCTCGGTCTGCCAACAGCAAAAGCACGTTGAGCACGGTGCTCCACCGACCCTGAGACCTCAGCTCCTTCAGTGTTTATTAGCCAGTCCCTTTATCATTGTGATTGCACAGTTCTTTAGTTCTTCAGTTTTGGCTTGAAGCTAAATCTTTTGCTGTTACTCTGGTTTGTGAAGTCTTCAACATAAAACGGGAATAAATAAATGGCCCGTGGCAGGGCTCTGATGATTCAGGCCTGTCGGTGAGCAGCTGCAGCATTTCTTTAAAAAACGTTGACATGAAGATGTGAGAAAGAAGAGCAGCTCTATGATGCAAGTATGAGGTCCATGTGAGAGTAAAACAGCTATTCCTTCACTGAAAATCCCCCTAGATCACATTGTGTCTGTGACTGGACAAAATGTCAGCTGGTCTGGAGGCACAACGATTTAAGGCCCTCATGGTCTCTCTCCGGAGGGCGGGGGGGGTCTTTAACAGGCTGAGTGACATTTAATGTTACCATGGCTGACTCTGTCGTTTACTCAGGGGATTGGCTGGACCATTTTTAAAGTGGTGACAGAAGTCAAACACTGACCTTCTAGAGCAGTAGTCTGTAAGCTTCAACATACAGACCACAAACATTCAGTTTCTGACTTAATTCTGTCGCAGTTCGATAACCCCGCTTGCAAAACTGGTCCCATCAAAGTTGTTTTAGCATCATGAAAAGCTCATATCCTTTAAACGTGCTGGAAGTTCCTCTAGCTCTTTTCTTTCTATGTACTCAAACACAGAAAGACCACCTCTGTGGTGGAAAAACACCAGTGAAAAGTCTTGTTGTTATTGAGGGCATCTAATACAAAAACATTCATCTCCTTTAACCACGTCTTCATGGAACAGATGCAGGGAGCTGGACACTCGCATTGATGTCGATTTGAGAATGGCAATATTGTTTTAAAAAGTCTTCTGATGCAGCGTGATGCTAAGTCACGCATGTGCACAACATGCTAGCAGCACGCAGAAAGACTGCAGCTGGAAGTAGAACCTGCATCCTCTTCACTGTGCTACCATCTGCTCTACCATGCCGACCTAGGTCCCATTTTCACATCAGTAAATCCAGTTTTGGGGAATAACTCTGCAGGAATCATTAGCTCCATTATCACTTCTGATTTCTCCTGGGCAGTTAACAGTTGTCTTTAACATGAAAAGCAGGTTAAAGGAGGAGTTTGGAGACCATCTGAAGGTGCATTTTAATCCATTAAACCAGTTTTATTTCAGCTTAGAGCTTTTGCATTTCCTCCAAAAGTGAGGAACGGTTGATTCTGGATTAAATTACACTTAAGATTCATTAATGTTGAGATTGCGTTCCTTCAATTATTAAAACAAAAAATAACAGAGATGAATCAAATGCTTTAATGAGAATTTTGTGTTGCAAATTTAGAAAATAACACACTTAAACAGTAGTCTCATGCATGGGTTTTCCCTCGGATCCATGACTGTTCTCACGTTTACTTTTTCATTTACCTCTGAGTCTGGACTCAGATTAACCATCACCTCTGTACCAGAAGATAACGCTAAAAGCAGTTTCTGCAGAGGGTGTATAAACGGTGTAACCCTAAAGCCCTAACTCAGCTCAGCTCAGCTCTCTAACTGCCATGTGTCTTGTTTAAAGCTCCAACCAGAACAATGAGCAGCACACATCTGTCTGCACATGTGTATCTCATTCAGAAAGAGGGAAAGCAAGAGGAGGAAAACCTTAGTCCTGTCCGTCTGTGATTAACCTGTAATTGCAGTGACAGATGTTCTCTTTGTGCACCATCAGAAGCACCTGAGCTTAATTCTACGAACAAACAATGTTAAAGACAAATCACAGTTTTTATATAATTCATTGATTTGGTTCCATGAGTGTCGGTTTGGGGCAGGAGTCTAACCCAAGACATGCAGAATCACAACACTGCACACAGATTGAAGGAAAAGTAAAATTGTTTTGTTAATAAGGGGAACTGAGGGTGCGCTGGGAATCCAGCGGATCAGGAGAAACGGGAACCAGGGTCTGGAGAGAGAGCGAACCAGAGGTGAGTCCAGGAGAAAAGGTCGAGGCAGGAATACTGAGAGGAGACTTACGGGGGATGATTGGGTTTGAGGAATGATGGGAGGTTGAGAGCCAGGGTGGAACCAGAGGTGAGTTGTTCTGAGCTGGAGAGGGAGCGCAGGGTTGAGAGTGAGAGCGGGTCAGTCTGGGAGGAGGATGATGAACGTGACTGAATGTGGAGTCCAGGAGTCCTATGGAGGTTGAACGAGTAAATCCAGACGAGCAGTGAACCTGAGGTGGGCGAGTCCAACAAACTCAGAAATCACACTAGTATCCAAAAAAACACTAGAGTCAAAAATTCACTAGAGAAATTACGAGTAACCAAGAGAACAAGAGCGAAGGCTGGAAACTACCGAGCAGTAGTAATCATCCGGCGTCGAGTAGTGTTCAACATCTCCTTAAGTAGTCGACCCGCTAATCAGCCGATCAGGTGCAGCTGCCGCTCCCTCTCCTGCAACACACTCAGAGATGGTTAGGATGAGAGCGAGTACTCACCCCTCTCACGACAATGAGTGGCTGCTTTCCAACAATGGCATGATGGCCAAAGAGCAGGAAATGTAATAAAGCAGAAGATGTCTTGTCTGAGTGATAGTTTAATTTAGCTTTTATGAAGCTAAATCCTTCATACAATCTGGTTTTGTGTTTCTGTTTATCTGTATGATGACTGCTGTTCATGTGAAACAAAGAAGGAACGTTGTACGGATTTGTTTCCGTAAACATTCATAGAAACAAATCAAGTCTATTGAATTGTATTTTTACGGAGGGAAGGACTTCACAGACAGCAGCTAGAGCAGATCTGCTGTTCACACAAATGGAGAACATGTTTATCAGAACTGATCGTTTCACTGATTCAGCCTGCTGCTGATGACCCACTGTTTACTGATCTTGTCTCATCTTGTTATTCAAGCATCACTTCTAAAGAAGCCTGTTAAAATGAAGAGGATCAGATCGGTGATTGCATGTCTTCTGCTTGTCCACAGACGAGGAGACGGGCTTGCAGGTGCATCAGGTATCTCGTCCCCCCGGCTTCAATGCCAACCGGCGCCGCAGCAGAGCCGTTCTCTATCAGTTGTCAGGACACCTTCAGAAACAAGACAAGAGCAAGATCAAGATCAACAATGTGAGTTCATCTGCATCCGGCATGACTGACATTTACCCGCTGGCTGAGACTTCTGCAACATCTCACAGCAGACGAATGCTTGGATCTTTAATGAGAAACAAGGTGGTCGTTTGCATGAATTAAAACACAGAATACAATCCTGCATCCAAGCTGCTGAAAACAGAAACTAGCAACCTGAAACATGTAGGGAAAACACGATGAACCCCTTCTCTAGTATCTCAGCATAGCAGCTGAGGACGGCTGGGCGCTGTAAACTGGACACATCCTGACAGATTATGAGAAGGACATGAGGAATGTGTTCACGCTTGGTTGACTCGAGGTTAAAAGCGTTCCATATTTAGCTGGTTTCAGTGATAAAGCAATGTGCTGACGTGTGCGGTTTGCATTCAGAGGTGACTGTATAGTAGTTCCTCATCAGCCTTCATAAAATGAGTAAACTTTGTGTTTATGACTACAGAGTAAAAACCTAAAAATGTTCCTTTATTTAGTTTGATGAATGAAACTAATAACAACCTGTGCCTCGTTGGCTGCTGACGTCTGTCTCCTCTCCTTTCGTCTAGAACATGTTTGGGCAGAAGCCTCCCATCCCAGAATATAAAGTAGCAGCCATACAGAAATCCCACTTCATCCTGCTCCACTACGGAACCTTCAAAGCCGGCTGGGATTGGTTGATTCTGCTGGCCACCTTCTACGTGGCCGTCACAGTGCCCTATAATGTCTGCTTCATAGTTGGTGGAGGACAGGATGAAGGCGGCAGCAGCGCCCTGCGCAGTCCACCCAGCAAATGCGACATCCTCGTAGAGATTCTGTTCATTTTAGGTAAGACTGATCTCTGTTTATATCACATGTGACTCTTTTTAAAGTTAGAATAGTTCTAGGATCGATAGTCCCTCTCACAAAAGCTATCTCACCAGCTCTATACTTGATGTTTTCAGTAGTTTCCAGGATGGGCCTTTTCAGGCCTCTGTCACTTTCAGGAAAACAATCTGCTGCTGGCCCCGCCCCTCCATGTCCTCAATAGGCTGGGCTTTTTTCTTTTAAAATTTTAACAAACTTGGGCATTTATCTCAACAAAAATGGGAAACCGTGAGTCACATTGCTAATTTTCTACCAACAGCCTTAAAGTTAAAGCACTGAGTCACATCAAAGTGATGATTTTAAAGGTGTGGTTCACTGAAAAACATTTTTAATGATTATTTCTGATTCTAATCAGCAACTCTGGGTGTTTCATGCAGGCTGAACATGAAAATAGTCTCCTACACCTTTCTCCTGAATGAACTTCTGATAGATGATAGACAATTAAACTCTAGGATTAGAAAAGCCTGACAGATCTATGTCACGCTGTCACTTAACATTCATGGACTCGCCCATCTTGACTCATGAAGGGGAAGGCTGTTGTTGGTTTCCCCCCACGCGTCCAAACCTGGGCGTAGATTGCAATTTAACCATGAGCCCTACCAAATAAAAAAGTTTTAAGCCTAGTCTTAAAAGTAGACAAGGTGTCTTCCTCACGGACTAAAGCTGGGAGCTGGTTCCACAGGAGAGGAGCCTGATGACTAAAAGATCTATCTCCCATCCAGTCTGACAGCTAAGTGCTCTGTTAGGAACATATATAATAATCAGATCACCGAGTGTCCATTTTGATATGAACAGGCAGCCAAGTGAGGGGACGTTCTATGCAAATTTCAAAATGTGTTACATTACAACAACTTTTTCAGACATTCCTAAACCAAACACAGACAGAAAATGATGTCACATTTTTCTCACATTTGTGGTGTTTATAGAGACAGCAGAGACCCGCATGGCAGCACAAACAGATACAAAAATCAGATGTTTGTAATAGGTCCTTTTAAAAGTAATCAACTCATTTAAAATTACCACCAATCACATCAAAGAAACTGAGGAAAAAGTAAAACATAATTAACCTAATAGTATCTGATATTAGCTAGTTTGTATGAACGTGATGTAACTTTTTAGGAGATCGGAGTAGATTGCCGTCATCCAAAGTCCTGAACCAACTCTTAAAACTCCTAGAAACCCATCACCAGCTGCCAGTTTCTCCCTGGACATTGTTTGAGGATATTTCTGCTGGATTAGACCCATGGATGCAATTATATTTACTCATGTAAATAAAATACAGAGTTACACATAAATATGTAAATGGGTGTGAAATGTGAAACTTACAGGACTGTAAAAAAACACATCAAAAGCTGACAAAAATAACTAAATATTTTACATTTGTTTTGAAGTCTGTGAATAATGATTCAAATTAAATTTGGGGTTTGGATTCTGTGTGAACAAAAAGAAAAACTTCATTTGTGGCTTGTTCGTATCATTATATTATCCACCTGTCATCATCCTCTATCAGGGTTTTGTGATAATGGGAGTTCTTCCATTTTTAATGATGCATGTTTCTCCAGGAGGACTTGAGCCATTTACGAAAGGCCATTACTTCTTAATCCCCACACATTTCCGGAAAAACAAACCATCTCTTTTATTTTCTAGTCTGTTTGCCCAGCTGCAACAACGTTTTGCATTACACCTCTTTAATGGAAGATTTGTTTACTGGAAGAGTGGATACTGAACTTATCACTAAAACTACAGAAGCATCCTGCAGTTAAGCGTCTGACTCCTGTCAGTCAGCAGGAGGTCTGCATAAGTCATGTTTATTGTCCTCAGACATCTTGTTAAACTTCCGGACGACGTACGTGAGTACATCAGGTCAGGTGGTCTACGATGCACGCTCCATCTGCGTTCACTATGTCACCACCTGGCTCTTTGTGGACCTCATCGCCGCTCTGCCCTTTGACCTGCTGTACGCTTTCAACGTCAGTGTGGTGAGTAGACGTGTCACAAACTTAGGTCACAAAGTCACATTTCCTCCTCTGATTGAAGCCGTGTCTGCAGTACTTCGGAGTCCACTTGTTGAAGACAGTTCGGCTGCTGCGGCTGCTGCGACTGCTGCAGAAGCTGGAGCGCTACTCCCAGTACAGCGCCGTGGTGCTTACGCTGCTCATGTCCATGTTCGCTCTGCTGGCTCACTGGATGGCCTGTGTCTGGTACTTCATCGGCCGCAGAGAGATCGAGAATCCCGGCTCCTGGGACATTGGTTAGTGACTCTTTTTTTCTTTAATGTCTCTTAACTTTAGCCTTTAAAAGCATAAGATTATCAACCCTTCCTACAACTTTCAGCTAATACCACATCAAATTGTGGTTCACTCACTCATTCACTTCGTCAACCGCTTGATCCTCAGTAGGGTCTTGGGGAGCTGGTGTCTATCTCAGTCACTGGGTCAAAGATTGAAGATGAGGAGAAAGAGGATGCTAGCAATGGGTACCGAATTTGGTACTTTTTATGGTACCAACCGAATTCCATAGTACCGACCGAGCACCGATTCACGTCATTTGAAACGGTGCCTCGTTTCGGTACCCGTCCTTCATAACGAGAACATGCCTAGACAGCTGCACATGCGCAAGAGCGTTATGTCGTTGGTTGCTGCGAGCGAGTTGTAAACAGAGCAGCATGGTAGAAAGAATGCACGCTAAAGCTTGGGTCCACCTCACTAAATGTGATGCGCTAACCACATATCACCACTCAGGGACAACAAGTTACCATTCTCATGATAGAATCTACGTTTTCTACCTCAGCGATGATGCCAAACAAAAAGGCTGAAAAAGCTCAACACACATAGTGAGAAAAACACACAGTAGCAACAATGCAACATGATCCTACAGAAGCAGCTGTTTACATCAAAGCCCCAGATCTCCTCTTTACAACAATATAAGAACCATCACTCAACTCTAGTGCAAAACTCAAGGAATGAGCAGCAAAACAAAAAAGCGTAAATTCAGTCTTACCTTTGCTGGTTTATGGTCATGAAAATCCGCGTTATGGTAAAAAAAAACACAAGGTTTGTTTTAATCCAATGTTCCGACGTCACGCTGAGGAGTTTCCTGATTGTCTTGTGCTTTTGTTTTCACCTGCTGGAGAGTGTTTTCACGTCTCTGATGCTACATTTTCATCATACTCCGCTCCCCTGTCCCACATGTTTTAGGTGTTTCCCTGCTGCCACAGACCTGATCTAAATGAATGAGAGATTAACAGGTTTTAACAGGTCACCTGATGTCATCCTGAGGAGGGGATGCAAATATATAAATCAGGTGGGCTGAAGCAGAGACATGGAAAACATGCAGGACAGGGGGTGCTTGATAAAAAGGGGTATTGCCTAAAATCTTGTCACAATATATTGTTTTCTTCTGTTTATTTATGTCAAAATGACTTTTGGAATATTCTCACAGATGAACTGCAGCAGAACGAATACTCCTAAAAGTCATAGAATACCATTTAAAGAACATTTAAACTTATTTTAAAAATAAACGTTTCAAGTTGTTTTTATGTTGTCTTATGATTCATTCTTCAAACAAAGCCACACAAAAATCTGCACAAAATGAATAAAGATGAAGATATTTTTATAAATTCAAACTAGTTTGACCGGAAGAGAAAATTACAAAAACAGAAATAACATTTCTTCATGTTAAGTGTTGCTTCGCTGGATAAAAATGATGCTTTGCTGCATTTTTTTCAGCAGCATTAAATAAGGACTCTGCCGCTGGGTGAGCAGCGCTCTGATCAGCGGTTCTGGGGTTATTAGAAGAAGAAGAAACAATGTTTTATGTAGCGTCTCTCAAGATAAAAACCATGAGGAGCTTCACAAGAACAAACATAAAAATAGATTAAAAACTTAAAAAGATTTTAAAATTGGTAAAAAAATAAAAAAGATCATAACATTTGGAGCGGTAAGACATCATAATTTAAATAATGCGAGGAAAGGGAAGGAGAAAGCGGCTTGAGTGTTTTACCAGGAGAAACAGCTGCAGATGGAGATTTGATCACGGGAGACGTCCGAAGGTGAAGATCGTGTGATAAAACAAACATCGTTTAAGGCAATTAGCGTTGGCAAGCTATTAATGCAGATATGACTTTACTGTTGTCAGAGTTATTAACGGAGGGCGTTTTTCTGTTCAACATCAGCTGCTGATGTTACCCCATCTTCTGTTCAGTACACCTGAATCCACGCTGCTGCTGCAGCCGCTCCACGGCTGACGCAGCCTGACAAACTTCATGTCGCTGTTGACCTGAAAAGATCATTGATAAGATATCGTCATCTTGCTCCGCCTATCCGGGTCCGGGTCGCGGGGGCAGCATCCCAACTAGGGAGCTCCAGACCGTTGTAATGGAAATGAAGGGTATTACAATTTAATTAAGAACCAGAGATATTAATGATCCATACCTGGAAGGACCTGGGCTTTTAAAATCAGAAGTGATTCTTTTTATTACAGGGAAATTTAAAAGTAAACACTTTGCATGAACTGAGAGACAAGAGAAGAGAGAGACCTTGGAACGTTTAAGAAAATTTATTATCTAAATTATTTTAAACAGGACTAACTCTCTAATGATGGATGCGAATGGAAGGTAATGAGGTGGAGTGTGTGTGTTGGTGCGATGTCAGTTCAGAACCTCTGTCTGGAGAAGCGAGTCTGAGTGGGAGATGTTGTTTTGCTCCTAACTGATCGACGTTTGAACTTTAGTCAGGACAGACATGAGACGCTATCTGGTGCCGTTCTACATTACCCGTCAGGGACTCCCGTGTTAGATCCGGCTGCCTGGTCCTCGGACCCTCCTCTGCTGCTGGAACCGATGAAACAGCGTAGACAGCACGACAAACCAGTCTATGGATAGTCTCCAGGTAAAAACGGTAGATGTTTCACAGCGTCAAAGGGACCCCCCTTTGGGTCAGCGAGTTCAGCTTTTATTCTGAAGGAACTGTTGTTTTGTTGGTAACAACGACAGGATTTTCCAGCTTGACAGTTCTCAGCTTAAAAGTAAAACATACAGATGGCCAGTCAAGTTAAAGTTAAAGTCCCATTAGTTGTCACACACACTGATGTGTGTGCGAAATTTGTTCTCCGCATTTGACCCATCCCCTGGGGGAGTGGTGAGCAGCAGACACAGCCACGCTTGGGAACTATTTGGTGGTTTAACCCCCCAATCCAACCCCTTAATGCTGAGTGTCAAGCAGGGAGGCATTGGGTCCCATTTTTTTCAAAGACTTTGGTATGACCCGACCAGGAATCGAACCCTGATCTCCCAGTCTCAAGGTGGACACTCTACCACTAGGCCACTGAGCTGGTACTGAGTCCGTACTTCACTTAGCAATGATGGACATCAGATGATCTCGAGAGCTGGTTGAATACTGAACACAAAATGGCGATGTTCTGTTTTATTAATCTTGGTTGTTTACGATTCTTGACGAATCGCAGTGGACAGATTAAATAAACACCACAGAAACTCTGCCACGCTTCAGAATGAAGGTTCTGATTGGATGAGTAAACAATGTGTCATGCGTTGACATTACGTGAATCAGGATGTCTAGTGCAGTTAGACCAAAGTCATATTACTCATTAAACACATTAATCATAACATTGTGATTTCACAGATCGGTCACATGGTTATTATTGACTAACAGTTGTTTTGATTAGCTTTATTAAAATAGAGTTCTTTGATTAATTAAAAGAAAAGCGTTCTTCTTCCTTCTTCTGTCTTCTTGCTGGAATGTAAACATTAGAAGCAAATGCATGACCTTGGCTGTTCATGCACACTGGCGCTGTGTCACAAGGACAGCTGTTAGAGGGGAGAAATGGCTCATTCATCACGTTACACCATCCTCTCCCCGGCCACCTCCACCAGCTCCTCCGGCAGGTCCCCAAGGCGTTCCCGGACCAGACTGGAGATGTAACCTCTCCAACGTGTCCTGGGTCGACCCGGGGGCCTCCTGCCGGCAGGACATGCCCGAAACACCTCCCCAGGGAGGCGTCCAGGAGGCATCCTGACCAGATGCCCAAACCACCTCAACTGACTCCTTTTGATCCGGAGGAGCAGCGGTTCTACTCCGAGTCCCTCCTGAATGTCCGAGCTCCTCACCCTATCTCTAAGGCTGAGCCCGGCCACCCTACGGAGGAAACTCATTTCGGCCGCTTGTATCCGCGATCTCGTTCTTTCGGTCATTACCCAAAGCTCATGACCATAGGTGAGGATTGGGACGTAGATCGACCGGTAAATCGAGAGCCTGGCTTTCTGGCTCAGCTCCCTCTTCACCACGACAGATCGGCTCAGTGTCCGCATCACTGCAGACGCTGAACCAGTCCTTGATAAGATATCAACCACATATTACTGTGCGTTGCTATATTTGAATATTCATTAAGCATAATGCATCCCAGCCCAATGTTTTTCTTTTACCAGGGCAGAGCCAATGCTGTCATCTTCTGGATAATGAACTATTCATTTTCCCCGTACCCCCGTAATGCCAGAATAAGTATCAATTTTAGTCTTAGCTCTTGTGGTGCTGTACTGTTTTCCCCACAGCAGAGTGCGTTTAATTGTGAAAGAGCTTGATCTTTTCATTATGAAAAGAAAAAGTCTGTTAATGACGTGGTCCTGCTTCGGGTTCTTCACAGCAGACAGTGCCTTTAGATAATGACCTAAGTTACATGCAGTAATAAAACACCATCAGCAGCTGCAGCATCATTATAGGAAGGCTTTAATATGAATAGAAAGGGAATTCTGCCATTGCTGTCTTTTGCTTTTGACTAATTGCTGACAGTCACCCTGGAAAGTCTTTGAGTTGTTGTGACAGTTTGGCCTGAGGTCCAGAGACAGTTAGAATCATTTCTGCACAAGAAGTTGTAGTTTACCATCTTTAAATGCCCATCCACTCCTGCTGTTAATCTCTGTGCTCTGATTCGCTGCCTCCAACTGAAAAATGCCTCCTGCGAGTTATACATCACATACTTGTCCTCCTTTTCAGTCCAGCCAGAAAACACTGATTTGTAAATGACTACAGGTCTGCAGAGCTCTGCAGTCTGTAAATTATTGACAGCCCTGAAGGGGAAAGAAACTAACTGCACCTTGCACCAAGTGAGTGACAGACAGAACGGCCCAGCATACGTTCACGCTGATATCAACCTCCATTGTGAATCACAGCTGGTGGCACATAAAGGTCAGACTGGTCTTTGCTTTCCCCTGGATTACCTCGGCCTTTCTGAATTGAGAGACCGCTGACATAAAGTGGCCGCAGCAACACTGACTGGCATTGCTTTGCTGAAACGTCCATGACAGATGGGCTGGTGCAAATCAATGAGAGTAAAGATGGAGGAAAACCAGCTGGAATCAGAGAAGGAAGAGAAATAACTTATCATTATTTATCTGAACCTTGAGTGCAGGTCCACAGGTAACGACTAAAGCTCATTTGTAGTAGCTCCATGTCTGTGTGTGTCTGTGTGTGTTTGTGTGTGTTTGTGTGTGTTTGTGTGTGTTTGCGTAATGCTCTAAATAAAATGAGAAACAAGAAAAGTGCCTCAGGTCACAGTCAGAAGCAATAAGTTTGCTCTCTTGCCCTTGGAAGTCCCTGTCTGTATGTCTGTACACGTTAATCAGACCGTGAGTAAGGGTTTCCTGACGCCTGCAGGACTTAAGATTCTCCACTCAGAGCTACTTCTGGAACATCAACAAATCTTTAAGGCTGTGTGTCTGCTTGGATCTGCCTTTGAAGGGCGACAATGTAGCGTAACAAGCAAAGCGCTGAGATGAGTTTTGTCAAAAGAAATCTTAGGTCCATGACACAAAATGATAACTGAACACGTCTAGAGACATTAAACACTTCCTGCTCAGAGGAAATGGATCGTAAGGGTCATGTAGCAAATGTCTGATGAGAGTTTTATCTAAATAAAAACGTGTTCTTGTCCTGAGTTATCTACGCTCTTCACCGATTAGGATCTGACGTGACTTCATGCAACAATCTTTAGGGTTGGGCCAAATAAAAACACAGATTGTTTTTATGCAAGTAGTTGTGTTTCAAATTACCACAAATGTATTTATTTTATCTTTCAAACATTAGCAAAATCATTGTGTGTGTCTGTGTGTGCGCGTGCATGCGCAGGGGCAGGTGCGCATGTGTGTGTGTGTTTGCGTGTACATGTGTGTGTGTGTGCGCATGCATATGCGTGTTTGTGTGTGTGTGTGTGTATATGCGCGTGCATGCGCAGGTGTGTGTGTGTGTGTGTACGTGCATGCAGGTGTGTGCATGTGTGTGTGTGCGTGCATGCATGCATGCGCGGGGGGGGGGTGTGTGTATGCACGTGCATGCGCAGGTGCAGATGCGTGCGTGTGTGTGTTTGTGTGTACGTGTGTTTGTGTGTGTGTACGCGCGTGCATGCGCAGGTGCATGTGTGTGTGTGTACATGTGTTTGTTTGTGTGTGTGTACGCACGTGCATGTGTGTGTGTGTGTGTGTGTGTGTGTGTGTGTGTGTGTGTGTGTGTGTGTGTGTGTGTGTGTGTACACTCGTGCATGCGCAGGTGCGTGTGTGTGTGTGTGTACGCAAGTGTGCGTGTGTGTATATGTGTGTGTGTGCGCGTGCAGGTGTGTGTGTGTGTTTCTTGAAAAGTAGAAACTGAGAATAGTAATAATAAAAAAGGTGTTAAATTGTAATTAATTGAAATAAGACATTGCTTTTGGAATGTAGTTAATATCATTGTTGTTGTTTTTATTAACATTAACATGAACATTAATGATAATAATAAAATGTGGTCTGAATAATAATTAAAAAACTAAAAACAAACATTCCTGGACAGGTGAGCGTGCTCTCCGATGACCAACATGCCTGTCAGCAGGTGTAGAAGTCAGCTTCGACCTTATGGCTGTGACTTCCTCCATCTTTGTTTAATGCAGCACAGTCATTCATCACTTTCATCTAATCTTTCTCACTCTTTGGTTCATTGTAACTTTGTGTTCATCTTTCTACAAACTGATGATAGTTTCATGTTTTGATCTGTACATCCGATTTAGCTTGTATTTTATGTGTTCCTATGTCCAGACCTAGCCTTGGGTTTCGCTTCGACACGTAGCTCTTTCCCACATTTTGTTTGTTGCTCCAGATTTCAAACACAGCAGATTTGGACCAACATGTTTTGACTCTCCTAATCATTTAGTTTTAGAAGCGTTTCCAGACTTCCAGCTGACATCCGTTACCTGCAGCAGCTCCTTATGACCTGTAAGTGTCCCATCATGCCTGCAGGATCCTGAAGATGCAAATCCAGATATTCTGTTTCTAAAACATGAATGAACAGGTGATTTTTAAATGCATGAATAAATGCAACACTTTTCCTTCCTCCTCACTGAGAAAGGACGCCATCGTTTATATAAACATGTCTGAGTCAATTTGACAATTCACCAGAACAATAATCTGAAAATAGTAGATTACTGAAAACATTTTGCTGTGTGGAGTTTAGATAATCTGTGTTCTGGGATTATACAAAATTTAGCATCATTTACATTCTTGCATGAATTCCTAGCAAAATGATTCATCTTCACCCATCCCCGTCCACAGTTCTGCATATCAACACACATCCTCCTGATTTAAATAAACTATGTTTTATTTTCAGTACGGGGTTGACTGGTGTGTGTTTGTAGTTCCTGTTGTCCAGCCAGGATTGGTGAAATATGAGTTGGCTTCCACCTCTTAGCTGTGATCTTCTTAGAACTGCTAGCTTTGCCTTTTATGAGTCTCCGGTGAGGAAAAGATTAGCAGCCATGCTGAACAGACAGGGTTCTTTGGAAGTTGAACTCATATCAGTTCTCCTGGGGGTTTAATGGCATTCAACCAGAATGCCATTAAACATTCTGAGGAAACTGTTCATGGTCATGCTCATATGGACAGCAACTCGTTGTTGGATGTGTTTCAGTCCGCCTTCAGACCACACCATAGCACTGAGTCTGCTTTGATTAGGGGGCTAAATGACATTCTGGTGGTATCTGACTCTGGGTCTAGGGTACTGCTGCTCCTGGTGGACCTTTCAGCAGCTTTTGATTTGGACGATCACCATATTTTACTGGAAAGGCTTGGGTCTTGGGTTGGGGTGACGGGGGTGGCACATAAATGGTTCCGCTCCTACCTATCCAACCGATCCATCTCTGTCCAGATTGGTGGCTGTGCATCCTCCTGTCTCCCACTGCCTTGGGGGGGGGGGGGGGGGTGGGGGGGGGGCACAAAGCTCTGTTCTCGGACATTTGCTGATTTCTATCTACCTTCTGCCTCTGGGCAAAATCCTGAATCAGGACGGCCTGAGCTATCACATTTATGCTGATGACTGTCAATTATATGTGGCAATGGATGAGGAGAATGCAGGCTCACTATTGGCTGCATTTTTAGAAGATGTGAAGGGCTGGCTGGCATCCAACTTCTTAAATGTCTCATCATCCACATCCAGTCATCGAGTGTTCATTTCCCTTTGTCTTTCCAGATGAGAAAATCTAGTCACTCCGCCGAAGGTCCTACGGAAACCATGAAGGGCAAGAGAAAACATTGTCGTTGAAAGTTTTCTCTGTTCTAATTCTGATCCAACAAACAGCAAAAGATGAAAGAAATGTTTGCTGATTTTTCTGAGATGTTTTCATTCCAACAAGAAGATGTACTAAAATCAGACAACAGGAAACAAAATGTTGGTCCCTTGCCTTTCAGGGCTTCAGTTTAATATCCTGCTCAATGTTTTCCTTTTGAAACTAAAAACGTTGCTTCATATGTGATGAGATTCTTTCTGCTTTTATTCTCACAGGTTGGCTCCATGAGCTGGCGAAGCGCCTGGGTACCCCCTACCTTCCGCCCTCCCTGACAGCACACGTCCCCACCACAGTTAGCAGTCTCCCAGCTAACAGCAGTCAGTGGAATGTGCCAGGGTCAGAGGTCACAGGACAGGGAAGCTGGAACTCCAGCCAAGACTATGGGAATATGTCCGTGGGCAAAGGCATGCCTGGGGCAGGAGGTTTCAGGGGCGGCCCCTCGATGCGAAGCAGCTACGTGACCTCTCTGTACTTCGCTCTGAGCAGTCTGACCAGCGTGGGCTTTGGAAACGTGTCAGCCAATACAGACTCTGAGAAGATTTTCTCCATCTGCACCATGCTCATAGGAGGTAATTTAATTTCTTCACTTTGCATTAATGTGAGACTGATCTCTCAGAATGTGAAGCTGTAAAGTACGCACTCGGCTCATAATGTGGAGGAAAGGCTGCTGCACACGTTTTGCTACGTTTCGCTCATGATGCAAAGCAGATACAGACAGACGCTCGAGCTTGTTGAAGAAGATTTGTAGAGATTTACCTCGCTTTGTTTTATAAAAGGGTACTGGATTTAAACAAGACTCCTGGTTTGACCTCGAGTAACAGAATATTCTTAATTTTGTCATAAACAGTTTTTTAATTAACTTTTTTAATTGTTTGTGAGAATAGACTTGATTTATTTTACTGTCAGACTTGGTGCTGGAGCTTTTCTTTGCCTCCACTCTGTCTGGGTACCATCTAACCAAACATCCTCCTCAGAAGGGATAAACTTTATTCGGATTAATGTCCCCAGGTAAAAATCTATCATAGTTATGATCAAAGAGATCTTACTCTGTTTTCTCTTTTCATCAGCATGTGTGTTTATCTGTAAACAAGAGGCTAAAGCTACACAAACACTAGCCACTAGCAGTGCTGCTCGTCTGGCGCGCTACGGTGAGGCTCTACTAGCCACTGATTGGTCCAAAGCAGAGCAGCACTCAAGGTTATTGGCTGTTCATCTGTTATTTATATCAAAGTTTCTCAATGTATGTTTAGGACAGACGTGTGAGAAGGCCCAGTTGCACCATCGGACTGAGGCTTCGTCTGAAGTAACGAGGGTGGTGCCAAGGGTCTGTTGTAGTACAGGAACTGACCTGAAAGTGTCATGATTTATCAACGACAAACTCAAATAGCTGACCCAAGACAGACCGAATGCAGGTTTATTTTAACTGAAAACAGGTTATGTGCCAACTTAAAGCTCTGGGGCCTCATTTATCAAGCTCGCTTAAGCCGGGCGTACACTGTGCGACTTTTTCACTCGTAGCACTCAGTTTCAGCTCAAACTGTACGACTTCCTCACAGGGCAGATCTCACGAGCCATGCGCTCACACTGTACGTCTGGTAGCAACACGTTGGCCCTAAAAATATGCTGAATATAGCGGTTTTTACTCAACACGTCAGACTTTTTTGTCTTGTTTTGCCTGTTGTCCTTCAGGAGTGCTGCAGGAGGACACACAGGGATTTATGGGGGTTGGATGAGGAAAACGAAATAAAGAAAGTAAATCTGTGTTTTGTGATCAGTTTAATTTGACATGAACACGACAAACACGCTTTCTTGACAATCTTTGTGAGTAAAAAACGTGTAGAAATAAAAACGAACAGCGTGTGTTATTAGGGAAACAGCGGGCGAGCGGTGTTGATGCAGCATTGCACATGCGCAGTGAGCGGTTCTGGTACTTTTTGGGTCGCAGCTGCTCGCAGCGCCGCTTCAACAGTGCGATACCCTCACGAGGGACGAGCAAAATTTCAAACACGCCAGAAATCCGTGCAAGCTCACGATTGCTGATCAGTAGCTGGTCACGTGGTGTTAATCGCCTCTCGTAACCCCCTGTACACTACACCACGCTCGGCGCAAAACTCGCCCCGATCTCGTGGATTCTCGCACGAGTGGAAAATCGGCTCAAAAAAGTGAAAAAGTCGCACAGTGTACACCCGGCTTTACCCACAAAACGGGGTCGGAAAACTGCGTAAGCAACTTTCCACGCAAACTTTGGGATTTATGAAAGAAGACTTAGCAGAAAAATGTACACAACTTTAAGTTGACTAAGGACCTGGCTTACACACATGTGGACATGGAGAGCACCTGCAGTGCTGCTGCTGATAAGGATAAAATTATGAAATCCTGCAGCATTATCACTTGCACTGCTTCATGCACGCACACACACACACACACACATACACACACAGCCTGAAGCACAGAATACAGAATGAGACAGAATGTTGTGTCTGTGACAGTGTGAGCGTCCTGTCACTGTGACTCGATTGATCATGCGCCCTGAAAATGCTGCAACAAGCCAGCTTATGTATATGCATGAGGTCCACAAGGCACTTTGTATTGACCATTTATGGCAGTAAGTGGGCGTGTTGAGGGCGGGATGTGATCCAGAAACAACTGAGCACATTTCTAGGTAGTTTGTGATTCATGAAGCGGAGATTGCGTGCAGCTGTGCGTACTCCATGTTTGCTAGATCACAAGCCTACTTGGCGTAAGTACTTTTTTTTTTTTTGGCTGAGCTAAAGTACGGTTTTAGTAACGATTGTAGCTTAAAATCATTACACGATTCTACGCAATGTTTGATAAATGAGACCTCTGCATAGGAGTTTTGAACTGGTCAGTCCGATCCAATGTTCGTGAATTCGTCAGTGGAGCCATGTGAGACGAACAGGAACAGAAAAGTAGGGACAGCGAGCTGCAGCGTGGTTTGTCTTGGGGGAAATAATATAATAATATAATTAATATAATAATATTATATATATAATATATTATATACATACAGTATATATATACATACTTGCACTTGGACACAGATTGGAGGGAGCTCATGAAGAACTACAGGTGAAACTCAGAAACTCAGGTAGGTTTAAGGTGGCTGATTCAGCAGAGGTGGCGTTGAGTCTAGCGATTGGAATTCCGGCTCCTTTTAGAGAGCCGGCTCTTTCGGCTCCCAAGTGGCTCCTCAGATTTTCTGTTGCGTAGAGTACGTTTGTAACCAAAATAATGCAAAACTATAAGTATACTATTTACTAATATAAAAAATGCTATATATCAAATATTTATCATTTCTATGGATTTAATAACTGAACACTTTAAGAAATCTCAACTTTCCGACTGCTGGCGCTCATTTTCTCACCGTCTTCGTTGCACTCTCCTCTCTCTCGCTCGCCTTTTTCCTCCTCCTCATTCCCTCTTGTCTCCCTCCACCCGCATGTGCTCTGCTGTGTGTCTGAGTCTGATCCTCCCTCTTCCACGCCCCTACTGCTCTGTGTGTGGACAGTCTGGACACGCAGTACACATGTTGACCAATCTCCTGTAGCTTTCACCAAAGCAAGCCGGGAGGGGGGAGGGGAGGGGACGGCTCCCAATGACGAGCCGGCTCTTAGAGCCGATTCGTTCGAGACCGACACATCACTAGTTGAGTCAGTCTGGGGAGCTGAGGGTGAACTAAACCTAACAGCCTTTTCATGAACTGAGAAGCTTCATTAAGTCAGAGTAGAGCCACTGCTCCTCCACATTTGAAGCAGTTGTTTGATTAGGATAGTTCCCCTATGCCTCCCTACACTATAATAAATTGTAAGCCAGTTAATCTTAGAAACATAAGTTCACCGTCTGCCTTAAAAACATGAGTCGTGTCAACTTAACCAACCTCTTTCTCTTAACTCTAAATTTCAAGATGTACAAATAGCATAAATAATAAAGAGGCATTGTTTGAACATAATGTTGTGAGTTGAAACGAAAAACAGTGTTAGCTTAGCTATTCTAAAAACGTATTTTCTCTTACACATAATCCTATTAACTTACAAATTCAAGTTACAAGACTATTAGGTTTGTCCTTTAAACATTAAAGCTACTCGGGCTTGTTCTCTGTATTCACGTAAATAATATGGCAGCTTTCATATCAAGACACCGGAAAGCTCACGCCGCAGACTTTGTGTGTCTGCAGGCTGAGCAAGCGGTCAACAAATGGCCAAAGTTCATGTGAACCAATGTTCAGCTTCACTGGTTACCCTCCTCACTTACGGTGCTGGCATGACAATAAACTCCACTTCATTGAACTACGAACAACAGAACCCCACACAATAAACTTGCAAACACCTCAAAATGGAACAAATATCATAGAGCATGCCTACCCACAATGCACTGCGCCCCAGAGGTTTAGTTCAGCCTGTTTCAGCCTCAACAGTCAGGAAAAAATTATCTGTACCCACTTTGAAATCACTCCACTTCCGTCCATTGTTAGGTCCAATCTTAATGTCCTCCGCTGCTGGAAATAGAGCCTTTAACTTTCTGTCCTTTAAACAGTTGGGCTTCCTTACTGTCCCCGTCCCTTTTCTCGTGTCTTACATTCACTTTATGTATGATTTGTATCATATTTTGCTTTTGTTTGTTTTCAGTAATTAGTTTACTTTTTGATATCACCGACTGACCCCCCCCAAAACTTGGGGAAAATTGAGTGAAATTGTAAAAATGAATTAAAACAACTTTTGAGATTTTATTACAGTGTTTAAAGGTTTTTCTGGGCAGGACCTACTGGGAGGAGACCCTTAGACAGACCCAGAAATCACTGGGTCGACATCTGGCCTGGGAACATTTTGAGATCTCCTCCTGGATCTTGACCTAACCTTGGATAAGTGAAAGAAAATCTTCAGCTCTCTGATACAGAGTGACCATCAGTTTATCCCTCAACCTAAATAAATTCCTACTTCCCCTCTGAAAACACCAGCACAGACGAGCACAGCATCTCATGCTGGTGAGGGAAGCTGGACCAGCATTGTATGCTGGTTCACCAGCTAAACCAGCACCAACACACAACATACGCCGGTAACACTCATGCTAGTTTTTTAACAGCGTTTATACTCAGCGGCTGTCTCGCTGTCCCCAGCAGATGACATTACAGCCCAGTCTGATTCAAAATGATCACCAGTTCATAACAATAAATCTCCCATAACTCATCCACCCACATATACCAGCCTGGACGTACTCTAGTACTTTAAATCATCTACACTGGGGGGAGCTGGCTCATGCACCATGAGTAAATCATACAAGTACAAAGACAAGCTCAACGGAGCATGTCTGCTGAAGCATAGCAAAAACATACCTCAGCAGATGAAAAATAGATGTGTACAAATCAGTTAGAGATGGGTGAGAATAGGCCTGTAGCTGTCCGCCTGCTTGTGTCATATGAAGCCATGATATTACATCAACTGTGTACTTCACACTGTTTTCAAAGGTGTTTTAGAGGCCTAGCATATCTTACAAGATCATTGGTCTTGCACTGACTCAGAGAGAATAGGAAAACTTGGTGTTTAAGAAAGCA